ATTAAACAATTTTCTGATAGTTATACAAGTCTTTAACACATTCTATTTCTGTATTTATAAAAGTTATAGACTTGGTAGTACAAGGTCAATCACCCGAAATTTGCAAGATACCCGGGGTACTATGGCCCGCAATATACGGTATAAAGAAATTACTCTAAGTATGCTTTAATTGGATTAAGGTCACGTGTGTGTAATCAAAAAAAATTTTTTTAATAGTTTCATCGAAACATTTTAATATCCGGTACGAATTCAGGAATGATTGAAGGAATGATCTTTTCTTTATCAATCTCCCCCCAAAAAAAGTTTTTTTTTTTTTTAATTAATTGATTAAACAACAAGGTTCAAATGCACACGGAAGAAAATTTCTCATCTGCATGATGTATCTTTATATCGAACTCCAGATCTAACCAAAAAATTCCTATTAGAAATTCCTTTTTTTTACATCAATAAGACTAGTAATGGATATTTTTCGAAATAACGGAAGCAACAAAAAATCTCCGTTACAGAATAACCATAAAATAAAAGTTCGTGCAATATTTAATTGATATGAATTGTATGAACTGCCTGATTGGATGATTTCATTATTATTTTTAGTATAATCAATCTCACCTAAATGGATCTTCGTTATCTAAGAAATATGCATGAAGTGCAAGAAATTCACTTTTATAGAGTTATTCATATACTAAATTTACTTTTTATAATAATAATGCTTGTTCTTCCACGTTCTGCAAAATTTGGTAATCATACTCATTTCTAATTCCTTATTATCAACTTTTGGTTGTAATACGAAATATCTCATTTATTAATTTTTAGAGGTAAAACAAACAATCAAAGTAAATTCTGTAAAACAATATGAAATAGAGTTTTAAGTATGTGAAGGGGGTAAGGATTCCATGAATTTTTTTTTTTTTTTATGTTACTATTTTATATTGTTATTTTTATGTATCAATCAAGATTAATCAGGTCAATAAACCACTTATCGAGGCTTTTATCAAAGGCTTTTCTAAGTATAAATTAAAAGCAATTTTCAATCCCCCCTTTTTTTTTCACAACTTGATTCCCACGAAATCTCTCTCTCTTCATTTTTTTGGTACTTGTTCTCTAATATCTAATATTTCTGAACCAACCTCGTATAAAAAAAAAAAAAAAAAAAATATTTTTTATTGATAAAAACAACTCTCTAATAGCAATGGAATATTCTGTTAATAATTTTAAACATGCAAAAGATAGAAAGTCTCATATTCCCAGCGTTCCCGCTAACTACACATATTCTAAACGGCAAAAAGCCGGAAAATCTTTTATTCCACGTATTGCCTGTCCTTCTAAACTACCTGATAATGAAAGTGAAAAGTTCTCTCTTTCTCGTATTAATAGTATCAATCATTTTAATTTGAAGAAAGAGAAGACTCTTTTTGCTCCAGTTAACTATTGTAAACCGGCAACAAAAAATACAAGTTCTCATATACCACGTATCAAAGCAACAAAAAAAGTTGTACCACGACAAGAGAAATCACTTGACAAACCTACCACTACTTTATTTGGAAAATCAAAAATTCCAGTACCTATTTCAACCAAGAAAGCAAAGGTTTCAATCATTAATTCGACCAAAAAAACAGATATCAAAACACGTACTTCAATTCATATCAGAACATGTACTTCGACTCATATTAGAACCACCTCGACCCATATTAGAACCTGCACTTCAACAATTAAAAAGAAGGATGTTCGGGCGTGCGTTTCAGTCAAAAAGAAGAATCAAGTGCACATTTCATCTTTTAATGCAATTAAAGATGATGATACTAAAACACGCGTTTTAACTTTTGATGCTATTAAAAAAGATGAAAATCTTTCTCGTTTTTCAACCCTTACTTCAATCAAAAAATCACTTATTCCGGTTCGCAAGTCGAAATACAATTTATTCAAAAAAAGAGTCGTCCCGCTACAACCTTCTAGTCTTATTTCAGTTCAAAACGAAAGTTTTGCACAATCTTCCACCTTTATTCTAAAAGAACAAAACAGTCTAGTTTATACCACATTAAAAAATAAACGTATTCCATTACAGAAATATGTTAATAACCCTGAAGCATCAATTTTCATTTCTCACAATGTATTAACATCAACATCAATTATTAAACCGGAGCTTTCATCAATCTCTTTACTTTATAAAGCCGAAAAAGATTTGTCAACTATTAAACATCAAGCCGAAGAAAATGATGAAAACAGTAAGCTTAACATTTCTTAATGCTTCTTATTAAATACATTTTTAACTTTATCTTAAAATAATTATCATTCTTTTTATTTTTTTAGCTTTCTTATTTGGTAATGTTTTTAAAAAATTCGTGCGATTTAGTAAAAATTTATTTTCAAAATTGCTTTAATTCTTAATTATTCTTGTCGTTTTTTTTAATGTAAATAATTAATCATGAAAAGGCGTTTTCTTTTCTTTCTTTCTTTCTTTATATAAAGGTTTTTTGAAATTTGGGGTATAGCTTTTTAATAATGTAAATAATTTAATATGGAACAAAAAAAAAAGTTTAGCCTTCTAATGTTTTTGTGTAGCGGAGATTTTTATGAAAAATCTTTTTTTTACAAATAAAGTTGATTTTTTTTATCTACTCGATTTGATATAAATTATGACAAATCCGATTGGATAATTTGTTATTATCCGTATTTTTTCAATAAATTATAAATTTCATTATCCTATTTATCAATTTTATTCTTCATTCGAATTTAAACGAAAATGAGGTAAAAATACTTTTTTAAACGAGTATTAATTTCAAATTCTAAATTTTTATTATTAATACATTTATTTACTAGTCAAAAAGCATCAGAAGCGCCTAAAGTGTTGGACCCGCCAAAAAGTACCCCGTTTACTCCAGCAGAACTTGCAAAGGTAACTAACTAACTACTCACATTTTCTAAATAAAAATTACAAATATTTTTCGGAAGGCATAATAATAATATACTTTCATAGTTTGACGGTTCAGATCCTACAATTCCAGTTTACGTTGCTGTTAAAAGTACAGTATTTGACGTTAGTGAAAAACGCAACCTTTATGGACTAAATGGTAGTTACCATGTTTTTGCAGGAAAAGATGCCTCAAAGGTATGCAAATAATCTTCTAAATGAAATTTGTTTTTAAAAAAAAAAATAAAGTAAAATAAAAAAAATATGTTATTATTAATTATTTAAATAATTTAATAGGGTCTTGGTATGAGTTCATTGAATTTAGAAGACGCTGTTGCAGATTATAGTACATTAGATGAATCTCAAGTAAGTCTATAGAACAATGAAAACAATACACTTTTTTGTAACCTGAAAAGTTAAAAAAAAATTTTTTTCTATTTACCAGTTAAAGGTTTTGGATGATTGGTATGATCGTTTTAGTAAACAATATAATATCGTAGGCAAAGTTGTTTCTTAAATTTATAATAATAAATACTCAAATCAAATCCGATATTAGCTTTATTATTTTTTATGTATAAATAAAAAATGTGAAGAACTTATCATTTTGTAACAAATACCACTTTTCAAAAGTTTTAACAATTTTTTATTTAAAGAAAACAGGTTCGACATTGTCACTAATTATTGTCAAACATGATATCTTTTTACTGTCGTCTTTGCAAATATCAATCAATCAATCAAGGCTTTTTTTTAAAAAAAGAAAAATTGTAGATATAATAAATTCTATAATTATATTCAATATTTGAAGATTCCGATAATGACAATTCAATAATTAAATATTCAATCCAATATAATAACAGGTTCAATAAACAATGAACAAAAACTGCTCAATAATTTTTTCAATAGTGTTTGTTCTTTTAATATTTAATTTCAATGTCACCTTCAGCAGGCGCATCCAAATCTACATAAGATTTTACTTGGCGTGGATCAGAACTTTCACTGTTAAATAATTAAATAATTATCATGTGAGAAATCTTAAAATAATAATAAAAACTTTTTAAATGTATTTTACTTACTTTGGTCTTGTTCGAGATAATGGTTTTCGATTATTTTTTTGTCCACGATCTTCTCTTGCATCGAAACCAATTCTTGGAATTTGATCATGAGGTGTACCGGCAGCAGCGCCAACAATCGGAAAATTAAATCCAATGAATGGTGGTGGTGGTGCGTTGGGAATAACTGGGAAAGGATTAGTTGGAATAGGAGTAACGTTCGGAGGAACATTCAATGCTGCTGTCGGATTAGGTGGTGTGGTTGGAAGAAGATGATTGGGATCAAGCACGTAATTATTGAAGAATTTTGTCTACGCAAATATAGGTTATTTAGTACATGATCGATGGGAATATTGATGATTAAATTAAAAACTTACATCATCCGAACTTACATCATCTGTAGTGTTTTCAACAGCGTTATGATGTTTATAATCGATATGCTTTTTAACAAAATCCGCTCCCTTAAATAATTTACCACAAAGTTTACATTTAAATTTGCGTTGAGGGTCTACTTCAATAACATTCTCTTGATAAAACTTTTCTAAAACTCTAGAGGAAAAAAAACAATGAAGAAAAAATAAAAAAATAAATATATATATATTTTTTTTTTAAAAAAAAAATTTACTTTTTGAGACTTGTTCCTCCATGTTTTTCAACTTCGCTTTCAAATTTCCAGGGTTCGGTTTTGTAAGCTATCTTATGATCTAAGGTCTTTAACCATTGGGAAGCTTTTTGAATATAATGAAAAAAGATAAAAATTATTACCCATCAAATAAACGTATTTATGTTAAATTAAGTAATAAATAAGTCACTTACAGTTAACTTGTTTCTCTTTGTTCTTGTTGACAGAAGACTTTCCCTCATTACCTGCAACACCTCTAAGGTGACGGCCAGGACACTTTCTTGCAAGTTCTTCAATAGAATCCGATTCACTACCACAGTAGTAACAAAACAGATGTGTACGACGCAAATATTCAATGTGAATATCCAGTGCTTTTTTTACCTAAATTTTGAATTTCAAAAGGTTAAAAAATTTTTCGATCGGATAAAAATCATTGCATAACTTACTTTGCTTAATTCTTCGCGTTCTTGAAGATCGTCAACATTGACAACAAATCTTGATTTAATTTCCTCGCTTCCTCTAATATCACCAACATCCTTATCCAACTTATCACAAAGCTTTTGAATTTGAATCAAATCTTTTTTTAACCGGTCGCTATTACAAGCAATATCAGGAGTAATTCTGTTGCGAACAGGTCCGGTTTGATTTTTATGGCGAGCAAGATAAAAGACAAACTCATCAATCTATTGAAAATATAATGAGAATTTTAATTAAATATAAATAAATGTTTTTTATAAAGAAATTTAAAAAATGAGAGATATACTTTTTGTTCATTAAGCTTTTCATAGGCATTGTCCATATCGGTTCCTTCTTTGAAAACAATCCAACCCAATCGATGAAACTTTTTCTGAGGATTAGGTTCGGATAATGCGAGATATTGAAATCCTTCAATTGTCTTGCACATCTTTTTTTTTATATATACATGATAAATGGTCAGTTCATAAATTAATAATCAAAATATGTCAAAATAAATATAACATACTTCCTCAATTTTTTGTCTTGGAATATTTGGTGAAACACTTTTAATGAAAAGTCGATTTGAATCTTCATCTGGATCTTTAGATTCAATTTTTATACCATCTGTTGACATTATAAAAATTATTAAATAACCAAAAAAAAAGTTTAAAATACAAAATTGAAATAAAAATATCTAACCATCTTGCTTAGAATCCTCCTTATTATCTTCATATGCATCATTGTTAATTCCATCAAGTAAACCATCATTCAAGTCCGAAATAAATTTCTTATGCAAATTCTTTTTTAACTCTTTCGTTACAACGGCTCTTTCTTCTATGTATTTTGGATGGTATTTTTCCAGGAACCATTCTTCTTTTTTATGTGCTTCAAAAAAAGTTTTCAATTGCTTAAGGGCAAAAGCTTCCTTATACTCATTATATTTTTTATGCAACTCCTCATCAGAAAGACGATTTTTTGGATTCGAATGTTGCATAAATTCGGAATAGTATTTGAATGTTACCAAGAAATCCAGTTGATCAGGATCTTTTGGTGCTTCATGCCTAAAATAACAAAATTGATTTAAATGAGGAAAACCACTAATTTAAACACACTTCATCTTACCTTGGACCTGTCCAATCCATTGCCATCATAGGTGCACCAGGAGGCAACATTTGAGGATTAGGTCCAACACCAAACCCTGTATGTTTCAAAATTTTAGAAAGCTAAACAATAAATTTTAACATATTTTATAAATGAAAATCGCTTACCCATTGGCATTACTTGAAATCCAGATGGGTGTGGGAAACGAATATCTCCTGGCCTTCCAACATACCTGGGGGCAGGTGTATATCCGTCCTTATCATAATTAGGAATATAATGATCACCACCATCCGTTGACTGTCTTGGAGAAATCGAACGCCTTCTCTTCAAGCGACGATCTAAAAAAAAACAAATTTCAATTCAATTTATTAGTGTCTAAATTTATATTTTTTTTTTGCGTTGAAAATAATTGAGAAATAAAGTTACCTCGATCTTCAGGAGAATTACTTCCTCTTTTACGTATATAATTGCCACGATCCCTATCTCTTTCGCGATCACGAGGGTCACGATCCCTTTCACGGTCACGGTCACGGACATCTCTACGATCAACACTGCTTCTTCGTTCGCGTGTGAATTTATCACGACTATGATGAAGACCTTCGTCATCAGAATGATCCACTCGACGTTTAGAATTCATCTTACGTGACGGTTGTTTGTAATCAGAGCGTTTTGACTTCTAAATTCGATAAAAGGGTGGTAAGGAATTGTTATAGAACAAAAATTTATCTGTTCTACACAAAAAAAAATAATAAAGAACGATTCCAAAGGTCAAAAATGAGTGAAAATTGGTGAGATTCATGCTTTGTGTGTTGCTTTTCAGATTGTTTTTTGTATTTTTTTGTTTTTTTTTTTTTTTTATCTTGAAGGTAGATGGTTTGTCAAAAATCGATGGTTTATCATAATATAAAGGAAGGAATGTTTATAAATAGAAAGGGAAACGAAGATGAAAATAACAAAAACTATTACGAAGTTTATAAATTATTAGTTTTTTAATGATATCAGTTTTTTAACTAGAAAGTTTATCAGATATAGTAAAGTTTTTCGATAAATAACGAAGCAAAATTCAACCAAAGTTTTTGAACAATAAATAGATTATTTTTGGAGATGTATGTTTTTTAACAAGTACAGTTTCTTACTGAGAAATATTGTGGCCTTGAGTTTATTCCTTAAAAAAAAGAAGTTTCAAACAAGCAAATAATGCCTTTTAATAGCTAACTGAGTTTTTTCTTAAACACTAATACTTAAAGAGGTTCTCAGCGAAGATATAAACTTTACGCCTGAGAACGAAGATGGACTCACTCACCAGATCGATGTTGAAGTCAAACAAGTCGACTCTAAACTTTCATGCATTTCTTTTTCATTAGTTAATTTATTAACAATTCACCATCAGATGATCAGAATTCCTAATGACATGTGACTAACGACGTTAACAAATCTCTCGTGATTATCTCGTGATGATTGATATTTGTATAAAAAACCTGCAAATTTCAACATATTTTTAAATCTCGTTCGTCTTTTTAACAAATATTAAAGTATGACAGGAGCACCTGAGCAAAGAAACGTTAAGTTAACTTCTTCTGAGGGGACAGAATTTAAAGTCGAAAGAGACGTTGCAGAGAAATCAGTATTATTGAAAAATATGTTGGAAGATGTAGGTGAAAGTGATATGGGTAAGTAGCTGATGCGAATCCTTAATTGTTAGCACTTTCTCTTTCTTACCTTTAAAGGTCAAACTTCTCCCTGCAAATTCTTTTAAATAATTCTATTAAAGTTCATTAAATTTTTTTTATTCATTAATATTTTATTAATAGCAATACCGCTTCCAAATGTTACTGGACCTATTCTCCAAAAAGTAATCGAATATTGTATACATCACCGTGATGATCCAATGCCAACTCATGATGATGATACAAAAAAGACCGATGATATCGATGATTGGGATGCAGAATTCTGCAAAGTGGATCAAGGAACGTTATATGAATTGATTTTGGTAAAAATAAAATAAATTTCCATGTATTGCTAACGTATAACGTTTATAAACTCATTTATCTATTTGTAAGGCTTCCAATTATCTTGATATCAAACCTCTTCTTGATCTTACTTGTAAAACTGTTGCCAATATGATTAAAGGAAAATCTCCTGAAGAAATTCGTAAGACATTTAATATTGCAAACGATTTTACCCCTGAAGAAGAAGAACAAGTTAAAAGAGAAAATGAGTGGTGTGAAGGACGATGATTAACATACGGTATTCTTCACGTTTTTTATTTTCTCTTTCTTTTTTTTGTTTTTTGATTTTTATTCTTTACAGAATCAGGTCATGTTTAAGTTGTTATTCAAAGTCATACTATTATAAAGATCAAATAATCAGTTAACAAGTAGAATTATCTTCATAGAACAACAAATAATTATTTTATTATCATTTATTTATTTATCATATATAAAACATTCTTAAATACTTGCTATTTAATATTATAATTTGTAAACACTTTGCATTCAAGTCTTGTTATTATTATAATAAACGAGTCGATAGTTATATTTTATTCAGTTTTGATTTGTATCAATTTTTCCTTTTAAATTTAACACATTGACTTTAATTAAACTGAATCTTTTCACACATAATATTTATTACCTATTCCACCAATTTTCTTTTTTCTCTTTCTTTTCTATTAGCAAATTCAACAAGTACTTGATTTCTAATTAATAATTTGGAATGTATGTCGGTTAATTTTTTCATTTCTTCATTTAATCTCTGAAGTAATTTATCAAAAAATTAAATAAATAAATAAATTAAATAAGAAATAAAATAAATTATTAAACGGTTTGCATTATTTAGAAATACTTATGATGATGTAATAAAGGCGCGTAAGGATCCATTATTTCTTTGGAAAATCTTGTTATTTATCAATTTAAATAAATAAATATTATATATTATATATATAATAAACAAAAAACCCTTTCTGTGTCTTTCTATACACTACCTTTATTATTTTTAAAAAGTTACCAAGAAAGAATTTATCGTGAATAATTATATAATTATATATATTCTGATTGGCTGTAAATTGTTATGCGTGTTAAATAAACTAACTAAATTTGTAAAAAAAATTTGCTATCCTAAGCCTCGTCAGTAGGAACTTGCTCAAACCTTCTAACGCTTGCTTTTTCACCAAATCTTCCAAAAACCAAAGGCACCGTAGTCAAAGCAGCAATACCTAATATTATAAGTGTTTTTTGAAATTCAAATGATTCAACTAACAAACCACTAATAACTGGTCCAACAAACATTCCAATGGAATATGCCATATTCCATAAAGCATATACTTGACCATAGGCTCCCCCACCTTTTTGCGTAACATAATGTCCAAGTAATGGTAATGTTGGTGTTGTTGCTATAGAATACGCAGCACCAAAAAGTAATAATGGTAACCCTACCATCCATAAGCTCTTCGGTAAAGAAATTAATGGTGTAGCAACCCCTAATAATATTATACCGAAACCACACGTTTTTCTTTGTCCTATGTGAAATGATACGTATCCTACTGCTGGTGATAAAAATGTTGGTATTGCTATTGCAATAAATATTAATCCAATTTGTGATGCATTTGCATCAAACTTTTCTAGAAGATAAATTGGTAAAATTGGTTCAATTCCTAAAAATCAAAAAGAGATTAAAAAAAAAAAATCTTGAAATAAAAAAAAGAAGGAACTTCAATACATACCGGCTAATACACTACCAACAACAATAATAGATAAACAAATCGTAATTATATTCCAATCTAAAATTAAATTCAAAATAGAAGGAGTTATTGTAGAAAATTCCTGATTCATATTATTTAAATCATCGTCAATGATAGAATTTTCATCAACATGTTGATTTGTCGTTATATCTAATCCGGATGTTGTTAAATCTAAAGGCTCAACAATCATTAAGATAGTCAAGAAACCACAAAATGCCAACGATGCACAAAATATAAATGGTGCCACATATCCCCAATATTGAAAAAGTATCCCTCCAACTAAAGGTCCAATTATTGCACCTAACGTATTTGCTGATAAGACTGTTCCCATTACTACACCAAGTTTTGGTCCTGATCCAAATCTATCTGCCAACATAGCCAAACTTAATGTCCTATATTTATTTGTGTTCCGGAATTAATTAATATTGAAAGAATAAAAGTGAAAATATAAAAAATAAAAATTACCATGATGCACCACCGGCAGCACCCTGTGCGATACGAGCGAAAACAAGTTGCCAATATTTATCAGCTATTCCAAATAATAATGAACAAATCGCAAGGCATGCCATACCAAATAACATTGGAACCTTTTTGTTTTATTCAAAACAAAAAAATAATAAATTAATTTTGGTATAAAGATCAAACCTTTTATTAAATGAACGGATTTTTACCTTTCTGGTATGGTATTTATCGCTAAACACAGCAAAAATGGGAGTAGCAATTAACAATCCAATAGCTAACATAAAAGTTTTGTCAATAAATAACAGATCGTTATTCATAAAACTCCTACAAAATATCTTTAATTACCATAACAACCGAATAGAAATCCAATAGATTTAGAGTCACGCCCAAGTCTTTCATGGACGATAAGTGGTAAGATAGGTAAAACGATCCCGTACACAATCATATCGCTAATGTGATTTACAGCAAAGAATAAATATAATTAAAGTGCAAATTAAAACACGTTACGGACTTTAATTAATAACTTACGTGAAAAGAGCCATTGCAGCTACAATTATAACAGCAGTAGTTGACCTACGAAACTTACCAAACCATCCATAATCTGTGATAACAAAATTCGATTCTTCATGACCATTCAATATATTAATTTCTGTAGGGCTAATGTTGGAATTTGAGGTTGTATTGAAAACCGAGTCCGTATCTGATAATAAAGTAACACTTTCTTCTTGATATGGCGCTGCCATTATAAATATACGTAAAGAAAAGATGAAAATAAAATTATAAAATTAAAAATTTTAATTGGAATAAGGTTTAAAATTTAAAGTATTTTATGGATAAAATTTTCCCGCGATAACATCAAAGTATTTCTTTTTTGGGTTAGGGCAAAAAACTTTTTTTTATTTTCCGATAAAATCCATTCGCTTTGGGAACTGATAAGGTTACACAAATCATATCATAAAGTTTTGTTTAGCCGAAATGACACAACATTTAAAATGATGCAATTTACTGTCAATACATCAAATGTTGTAATACTTGTATATAAATAAGATAATATATTTAACATGTGAAATTCGTATTACTTGATCAGTAGATTAATTAATCTTGCTAAAGAATTATCCTGTAAAAGTATATACTTTTGGTTTTTAATATTTATAAATTTATTAAATAATATATACAACTATTTTATCTTATAATAATAGGCTTTAGAATTATTATAAAAAGTGTAAAATTCTTTGTTATTTAGGAAGTTTGCTAGAAAAATAGGGTTCTGAGAATTTTTTTTTAAAATTAAAATCTGATATATATTAATCTATAATATATAAACTTTTATTGGTTAAAATTTTATAATACATTAGCCTTTTTTTTTTTAAAACACAGTAAAGTATTTATTGCTTAAAAATTTAAATTTTAAATACAAAATATAAAAAAAAATCCTATAAGAAATATAAAAGTTAAAAAAATTAAAAGTAAAAGCTACTTAATTTTCTTTAAAGCAGTTACTAATTTTAGCTAAATTAACTGATTATTCTATCAGATTCCTAAACTTCTAATAAAAAAGTTTAGTATATAGGATGTTTTATAATTGCGGGACGAAACTATAATAGGCTAATGTCAAAAGTCAAAACTAAATCCGTCGAAAGTCTAAACGTTTTGACAGGTTTCGGCAGGTTTAAATAGGCGTCGAAATGCCTAAACTTA